GTGCAGTTTACAGTATATTGGTTGTGTGAATTGTGATGTGAGAGAAATAACACATGATCTCGTGCAGTTTACAGCATTATGGTATCGCGAATTGTGATGTGACAGAAATAACACATGATCTTGTGCAGTTTACAGCATTATGGTTGTGTGAATTGTTATGTGTCAGAAATAACACATGATCTCGTGCAGTTTACAGCATTATGGTTGTGTGAATTGTGATGTGTCAGAAATAACACATGATCTCGTGCAGTTTACAGCATTATGGTATCGCGAATTGTGATGTGACAGAAATAACACATGATCTCGTGCAGTTTACAGCATTATGGTTGTGTGAATTGTGATGTGTCAGAAATAACACATGATCTCGTGCAGTTTACAGTATAATGGTTGTGTGAATTGTGATGTGCCAGAAATAAGACCTGATCTTGTGCATTTTACAGTGTAATGGTTGTGTGAATTGTTATGTGTCAGAAATAAGACGTGATCTTGTGCAGTTTGCAGTGTAATGGTTGTGTGAATTGTCATGTGACAGAAATAACGCATGATCTCGTGCAGTTCACAGCATTATGGTTGTGTGACTTGTGATGTGTCAGAAAGAAGACCTGATCTTGTGCCGTTTACAGTGTAATAGTTGTGTGAATTGTGATGTGACAGAAATAACACATGATCTCGTGCAGTTTACAGCATGATGGTAGTGTGAATTGTGATGTGTCAGAAATAAGACCTGATCTTGTGCAGTTTACAGTGTAATGGTTGTGTGAATTGTGATGTGAGAGAAATAACACATGATCTCGTGCAGTTTACAGCATTATGGTTGTGTGAATTGTGATGTGACAGGCATAACACAGGATCTCGTGCAGTTTACAGAATTATGGTATCGCGAATTGTGATGTGACAGAAATAACACATGATCTGGTGCAGTTTACAGCATTATCATTGATACAGAAATATTTTGAATAAATATACATTTGTGTTTGGAATCAAGATAATAAATAAATGTAGATTATTACAAATAATAAATATGCTATTTCTCGTTTGAATATATATATATATATATATATCATCATGGCACTGTACTTTAAAGCTGAAGTGATGTTTTTCAGACCCACCAGATGGCAATGATACCTGGACAAACCAGGAGGATGGCTACAACTATGCCACAGATATGGTTAGGCTGATCAAACAAGAGCACGGCGACGACTTTTCTATCTGTGTAGCAGGTAAAAGATGTCTGACGTCTGTAAAACAGTAGTGTTCTCCACAAATATATATCTAACAAAAGTGCTATTTTATGTCATAAAATATAATGTAGAGCAAACCCAATATGGATCAGTATGTATGATAATTGTAGTGCTCCACAAGATCTTTATCAATACATTGACCTAGAGTGATACATTATATATAATTTTCACACAAAATTCCACAAATGGTGAAATGAAAATCATACCTGGTAGTCAAAATGTTTGATGAATAGTTAAAGTTTAACATTAACAAACAAAGTTTGTATTATTAGTCCCCTACCGATGAAACCGGGGGGACTATAGTTTTCCCCTCCGTCTGTCCGTCCGTCTGTCTGTCTGTCCGTCTGTCCGAAGAGGTTTGTCAGCACTCTAGAGCCTTCATTCTTTCATGGATTTTAATCAAACTTTACACACATGTAAAGAATTAAAATATCTTCAACAAGTTCGAGTTTCAAGGTCATCGGATCAAGGTCAAGGTCACTATTACTATAAATAGAAAAACTTTGTCAGCACTCTAGCGTCTTCATTCTTTCTTGGTTTTTAATCAAACTTCACACAGTCATAAAGAATTAAAATATCTTCGACAAGTTCGAGTTTCAAGGTCATCGGATCAAGGTCAAGGTCACTATTACTATAAATAGAAAATCTTTGTCAGCACTCTAGCGTCTTCATTCTTTCTTGGATTTTAATCAAACTTCACACACTCATAAAGAATTAAAATATCTTTGACAAGTTCGAGTTTCAAGGTCATCGGATCAAGGTCAAGGTCACTGTTACTATAAATAGAAAATCTTTGTCAGCACTCTAGTGTCTTCATTCTTTCATGGATTTTAATCAAACTGCACACACTCATAAAGAATTAAAATATCTTCGACAAGTTTGAGTTGGACAGGTTCGAGTTTTAAGGTCAAATGGTCAAGGTCACAGTTACTATAAATAGAAAATTTTATTTAACATTCTTCCTTGCCTGTTTATCAAACTTCACACACTTGTAAAGATACCTTTACAATCAACAAATAAGATTTCTTAGTATTTTTATTCCCTTACCGGTGAAACTGGGTGGGGGTGGCAGGGAGGGAGAAGAAAACAAGAATACCTAAAGTTTTCCTCGCTGTCTGTCCGAAGAAGTTTGTCAGCACTCTTGCGCCTTCATTCTTTCCTAGTTTTTAATCAAACTTCACATTATTGTAAAGAATTTAAATATCTTGGACAATTTCAAGGTAATCGGGGCAAGACAAGGTCACTATTACTATTTTAGAAAATCTTTGTCAGCACTCTAGTGCCTCATTCTTTCATGGATTTTAGTCAAACTTCACATTATTGTAAAAAAATTCAATATATTGGACAAGTTCAAGTTTCAAGGTCCTCGGATCTAGGTTGAGGTCACTGTTGCATCTTAATAGATTGCGGGGGCCGGTAGGGGACATGTATTGCTTCAGCAATACTCAGTATGCTTGTTAAAACAATATATATCTTGTATATTCTACCTCTCTACATAGGAAAAGTTATAAGGTAATAAAACACTGACTGTCAATGGTATGGTAAGGTTTAATGCTATTGAGAGGCGTCATTCCTAACTTGTATATTCTACCTCTCTACACAGGAAAAGTTATAGATAATAAAACACTGACTGTCAATGGTATGGTAAGGTTTAATGCTAATGAGAGGCGTCATTTCCTAACTTGTATATTCTACCTCTCTACACAGGAAAAGTTATAGGTAATAAAACACTGACTGTCAATGGTATGGTAAGGTTTATTGCTATTGAGAGGCGTCATTCCTAACTTGTTTATTCTACCTCTCTACATAGGAGAAGTTATAGGTTATAAGACACTGACTGTCAATGGTATGGTTAGATTTACTGCTATTGAGAGACTTGTATATTCTAAAACTTTAAATCTTCTTCATGGGAGTGTGTTCCAGTACACCCACATTTCTGTACCTACCAATGAGATAGTTTGGTACTTCTAGTAAAAACGATTGATGTACAGTAATTACACTTGGTTAATGGACATGTTTGTACTACCAGTAATCAAGGAAACCTCTATCAGTGATAGCTTGAGTCATGTTATCTCGTTTCGCTGCAAAATTAGACTTAAAACCAGTGTACTTTCAATTTGGATTGTTAGATTATTGTCTTATTGATCAGAAAATGGATGTTGAATTTTGAAACTACCCTATTGAGCTTAATAGTATCAATTTGTAACCAGCTCACCTTTACGCTGAAATCTGCTTTTATTCATCCACCGTTGGATATATAAAAGCCACATTTTAACTGATCCACTGGCCAATAATAAAATAGGACAACCCTACCCATGGTGTCACCTAGAGTGTCATATAACATGGGTGGTTTAATTTCCCAACTAAACAAGGCAGATTCCAATTCAATCTTTATCTGCTCTGCTGCAAAAGGCCAGCAGATTTAATATCTGAAATTTGAATAAGGAGAGGTGAAAGAAAAAAATGTTCAAAAATGCCAATTTGGGATATTTGCAAAAATTTCAGGATAGTGATGCACATGGAACGTACTTCAGCTATATTATTTGGAGAAAGTAAAAATTGCAGAACTATGTAGTAAAACTTGATTAACCTGATGTGTGACAGGGTACCCCACTGGACACCCGGAGTGTACAACATACCAGGAGGACATACGTCATCTGAAGGCGAAGGTGGACGCTGGAGCAGACTTCATAATAACACAGCTTTTCTTCAAGGCTTCAACCTTCCTACAGTTTGTCAAGGATTGTAGGAGCATTGGGATCAATTGTCCCATCATCCCAGGAGTTCTCCCCATACAGGTATGATCACTAGTATTACAGCTAGTATCTCC